TCGGTCGTTTTAAGACGGAAAAAAATAAAATAAAACGAGCCAAAACGGCTGGAAGACTGACACTAAAAACTGTATTATGATCGAATCAGCGCGCGTGGCGCAAGCTGAAAACAATCAAGACAATTTAACGATCGAGACAGTAAAAAAAATAGCTGTACACCTACAAAGGCGAACGATTCGAAAAAGACGCAATCCCTGATGGGCGTACTCATTTTAAACAAACTGAGACATTTCAGTATACACACTATAGTTCCTGTCACCAACAAGGAATTAAAAAAGACTTCTTAAAAGGGGAGACTCTTAGACTTCTAAGAACAAACTCCTCTCAAACAATATTCGAGGAGAAAATTACAAATGAAGCGCATTTGCTAAAGAGAGGCTACCCAGAGGACCTCATTAGCACAACCCTCTCAGGAGGGTTGTTCTTAGAAATTTGATTGGCGCGGTGAGATACCGTCTCCAACCAGAGGCTTTCGCTTTCTTCTCACCGCTTCGCGGCTCGTAGTAACTTCTCACCGCTTCACGGCTCGTAAAAACACAAAGAAGAAACGAGTAAGCAAAGCCTCTGGGACCAGGGTATTTAATCAGTAATTATATCACTCAGTTTCTCAGAAAAACTTTGAAGAATAACAGTAGCTGCTCCTTGAGCGCAACACGTTTTTCGAACACCTCTGTAAATCAAAGTTCGAATATCAGCAAAATCGATTTCATTTATTTTTAGGAGCGGCTTTGTTCCTGATTATTATTTTCCTGATTATTATTTTGGCCCCTTCCCCATCGCTCGATCTGAAATCTCTAGCTATTCTTTGCGAGAAAGACCTCAGTCTAAGATCAGAGAGATGTTAGAATAATTCGAAAACAGATTTAATTTTTTCGCTTATCTCGGTTCAGTAATGGATCACAGCTGATGACGTCAAAATTTTGCAAGAACGAAAACGTTTCAGTTTGATTTGATGGTGATTCTTAATCGTGCGATACACTGTTGAACTTTCATTCAACTTACATAAGTGGCATAGAATCCGCAGGTTTGAGTTGAAATTCGAATCAGATCATCATCATCATCTTTATTTGCCTTATTTAACAATTAAAAAATAGTTATAATAGTTAGAAGGCGAGGAGAAACAAGAAACCACCAGGCTTAAAGGAGAGCCACCTCACTTACAATAATAAATTAAGTAAAGAAAAAGTGCTGCGAATGTGCGGCTTGGCCAATTCAGTGATTATTTAAGTAAAAACTCTTGCAATTTCGTTTTAAAGCTGAGAAAGTTTGACGAACGAGCGACTGAAATACGGAGAGAGTTCCAAATTTTAGGACCTTGGTAGAGAATTGTAAACTGCTTGATATTTGTACGGCACAAATGCGTTCGATAATTATGCAATTTTATTTACCAAAGGAATTAGCGCGTGCGATGTTGAGTGACTTTTTCGAAATCCGAACTGACAGCGGTAAAGCATATCGTGTTTTTCGGCAAATTCTACTAAGCGATTGTATATGACTTTTTCGAAAAATTTGGAAAAATTAGACAACAAAGAAATAGGTCTGTAGTTTACATAAAAGATAGCATCCTCTGCCTTGAAGATGGGAATGATTTTAGCGATTTTAAGATGGTGTCCAGAAGGTCTCAGTGGAGTTAATTACAACTGTTAGCCGCAAAACGGCAAAAAAAGCCGTTAGTCGTTAGCTTTTAGCCGTTCGTCGTAAAAAAATTTAACCGTAAAAGTGGGGAAAACAAAATACAACAATTTTTCGTAATTAAGTTGTTGGAGTACTTTTATCCAAGCATCACATTTGTACATTATTTGTAGTATTTCTATCATTGTTTAGAATGTTCCTTGATCGATATTGTCGTCGCCGCTGCTGGATTGTGGGTGGTACTGTGGTGTCGATTGCTGTCATAACAATGATACTTATCCCTCCCCCCAGAGCGGTGAGTGTCAAAACCTTTACCTTTTCAGGTTGATGGGTTTCTTTTTCTAAGAAACAGTTGGGCATTTTCTTGTTATTGTACTGCATTTCGATGAAACATTTTTGATCAGAGCTATTTATAAACTTTGACTAACTTTTAGGTTAACCAAAAAGTTAGCATGAGTGGCTTAGTATTCTATGGGTTGTCACGCAACACTTCCTCAAAGCGTCGTGTGACATCGCAAAGAGTGGCTGCGGAGGAGACTGGTGTTGTGAGCTAAATATCTGCAGAGAATAACGCCACTGTAAAAGTCTGGACGAGTATATTGACTGGTATATCGACTGAATGATAGGTCGTAATATTCCAAACAAGAAACGTGATTTTTTAGTAAGACAAAATATCCAAAAATGTCAGAAAACAAATTGATAGGCACATTACCCGAGGTGCATTATAAAACTTAGATTGTCCAATTCTTAATAAAGTCGATAAATTCCTGAAAAGCATTTTGTTAATCCCATCTACAGACCCCTCTATTTTTTACAGAGAATGTAATCCAGGTGAGAAGAGAAACCGATGAAGTTACAGGTAACTAAAAGAGATCTCTAACGTATAGGCTTGTTGCAAGCGGGTTTCATCGCTTCACGGTTATCCTTCGATTCATTCATACGCTTCTAAAGAACGCTCAATTTTTTTAAAAGGACTAAAGAACACAGAAACAGAATTGATTCAAAGGCCAAGCTTCACTCTCAAGGAACCACAATTACTAAACTCTCCACCGCCCACACCGAGTATATTTACTTACGTAGAAGAACCTCCCATTGAGCACGAAATGAAGAGGTTAATGACGGCGCTTTCAACGCAAGGGGCTGTTTGCTCTGATGTACGCCGAATAGGGGGCTTACCGCAAGGTCCTCATGGGGCCCCTCGTCCGCTTGGCCCTGATGGGATGTGGTATGTTTGTTTTGACGAGGAGGTTCACATAGAGCCTGGATGGTGTATCGTTTACTCATTTGGGTAAGTAATTACGGTGTTCACCAGTTTTTTCTCTAGTGAAGCAAAATTTCATTTAAACAGAAGATACAGTTAAAAGTCATAATTAGCTATCTGATCTAGGCGCACACGTCGAGTTTAATCGAGAATTAACTAGGCTCGTACCCAGACCATGGTGAAGCGGTTCCCACATTTCAGTTCCAGTTAAACGGTAGGATCTGGGCACAAGTTTAATCTCAAAAATAGATATGGAACACAACGTGAATTAGAAATAGAAATGAAAAAAAATTAGCCGTCGTCGCTTACGTTCTCCAGACAACTCAAAGTTTGGCCATTTCACGTTGTTGTTTTGCAGAGGCACTGCGAATCGCGTCGAAGCCTATGCTATTTCAGGGTTCTTTTAGCAGTAGCTCAGGCCTCATTCGATCTTTTGTATTGTTATCTCTACGGTCTGTTTGTCTTTACTTTGAAGTGTCCGTGGCTCCTCATGACACTTATTCTCTGATTGGCTATTGTGACTATTTTATTTTAGAATTTACGATGATCAGTCGAAATGACGGTTCCAGGTTGCCTTCTGGACAAAATCAAGAACGATTGACTTTTACGCTTCCATTCTACTACATTTTCTTTGTAGTTTTAAAAAACTTTAAATTAAAAAAAAGAAAACAAGATATTTGTCTGCTGCTGATTCCTTACAGAATAGGGGATGACTTTTCCTTTGATGAAAAAATGGTCGAACATGGCTGCAGAGTGTTTGCTTTTGATCCATCCATGGGAAAAGAAGACCAAAATCACAGTGCTGGCGTAATGTTCTATAACCTTGCCCTGTCAAACGAGAATCGGGAAGGACAAAAGAATCCTCCACCTAATAACCCATTTGATAAGATTGGATGGAAAAAAAGAACGCTAGCCGCCATTTTACAGGAACTAGGACACCATAAGGTATTTAATTTTTTTATTTCCAAGTGAGATGGCTTAGACTTTGAAGATTCTGTTGTCGGTTAACGCCACTAACGTGGAAACGGTGGGTGGGTTGGTGAAAATGTAATCGTTTCAACATCTATGTTCATTTTAATTTTATTTATCTGCAAATTCTGGGGCGGATCCAGGATTTAGTCAAGGTGGGTTAGAAGAATTGTCCCCCTCCTGAGAGGTCCGAGATTTTGAAAATTAGGTCTTCGGAAAGATGATTTCCAGCGTTCTGAGGGGAAATTTAGGGGGTTCGACCGAACCACCCGGACCACCCCTGGATCCGCCCCAGAAATTAGGAAGGCAGTGTTAAAAAGTCAGCTGTCCAACTATCTAAACTTCAACTGAGCCCGGGTAGCCTATCTACTCTATATCATCCTTGATTTCGATTGGTTACCATTGGTAAGGTGATTAAATTTCATTGACTTATAGCATTTGCCGGATTCTTTATTTCTATTGGCTGTTTTACTGTCCAGTTTGACCAGTCCTCCATTTACACGTACCTTGTAATTGAAAAGGTCAAATCAGACTGTTAGGCGCCGCACCAGTTAAATAAGCCCGCAACAAATACAGATTTACGTATGATGCACGATCCTTCGCAGTAGATAGCGTTATTTATGCAATAGCGAAAATCAGACCTGAAAAAAATCAGGCCGCTACGGGATTCGAACCACTGACCTCTGCGATACTAGTGCAGCGCTCTACCAATTGAGCTAACAAGCCGACTGGGAGCAGGCCGTTAAGTTGATTCGTAATAAACCCGTGACGATAAATCACGGGTTTAAATCACGGGTTTAAATCAGATTTGCGCCTTTTGTTATTTGCATAGTTATTAAGCATAATTAGGATAAGTAATGCAGTGAAATACAGTTCAGGTTGGTTAGGTAATAGTCATTCGTTATTCAAGGAGTCTTTTCTTCGGCAATTTATTCTGTTCTCAGGGAGAAATCGACATTCTAAAGATGGACATTGAGTCTGATGAATGGAAATGCTTACGTCATATGCTGAGCCAAGGCACTTTATTACGTCACGTTAGACAGCTTGACGTTGAGTATCACGTGATCAAGGGCACGCCAGAGGCGCTGAGGCAGTATTACAGCATAGCAAAGTGGCTTGAGAGACAAGGATTTAGAATATTCCATTCCAGAAGAAATCCCTACTGCCAGGAGTGTTGGGAAATGTCATATATTAACTCTAACTTAGTAAACTTGACATTAAATTGATGTGTTTTTTCAAGAGTCCGGAATCGTGTTAATAGAGACTTATTTAGCCATCGGTTACCATCACTAAGCACCATTCTCCTGTCACTATCATTCACTGTTACTAAACATCCTTAACCTTTACTGGACACACCATTGGTATGTTTTACTGCTGACCATGTGAAATCCCGAGTGCAAGACCACGGGGGACTGGAAGAGGGGGGGAGGGGGGGGGGGTGAGAGTTTGCCCAGAAACGAAAAGAGCCCGTGTGTGGCCCGGGGTTTCGACCCCATGGAGTGGCCGCTTATACCCGCCCAAAATCATAGTTTTTCATTACTCGCGAAAAACTATTATTCGCGCTAATTTGGTTTTTTCGACAAAGTTGATAATGTAAATTAGCCACCGTAAAGAATTTAAGAGCTGGCGTTTCGAGCGTTAGCCCTTCGTCAGAGCGAATGGAGGAACTGTGGGTAGTGTGTGAAAGATAAACTTTTTGTTCAAAAGTTATCTAGCGCGTCAATTACCTGTGTGTGTTTGTAAGTTTCGTTAGCCCTGAGGATCAATGTTTATGTCCAATTTTTAAGAAGCAGCGTTGTCATTTTCGTTTTTTGCCTGTAACGCTATGCACCGTTGAGGTAATCATTTTTCTTTATTATGAGTTTATTTGTAAGTTTCGTTCTCTAATATGTAGTTTTCTACTCTTGTTTAGTACCGAAGGAAAGTGGACGCTTTTCATTTAATGATGAGCACAATTACGCGTGACTTCGGGTACAACGCAGGCAAACTGTGCGGTATGGCAGTTGTAAACATAGTTACATAATCTTTTAAAGAATCGAAACGTGACCTTCTCGAGTCACGTTTGTAAGTGTAGGAACGGTTGTTATGTTGTGTAACTATATACCGGTATTTTGAAAAAGGAAAAAAAACTTGGCACTCGGTCAAGGGATTCCCTCCTACGTGCGATTGTTTAAATTTTTCATTTGATTAGATCGCCGCATTCCTCAAAAACTGACAGCACATTCTCTGATATTGCTTCATAATGACGGACGTTATGATTATACGGAAGTTGCACAAGGAAGTTAAATGGTTTGATGATTTTGTCCTCCTTTCCTGTTCATGAATCTTCCGTTAGTCTTGGGATTCAAATTCAATCACGCAGTTGAAATAACAAATATTGGTCATTTATGAAAGTTGTTTATGGTTCACGCGAAACCCTCTGTTCATGCACGCGCAAGGGTCACGCGAACCTTTGAGTCACGAATCACGCGAAGCTTTTAGTCGCGATCAACCTTTAGATCACCGACATTGTAAAATTATCTGATAAATTTACGTTTTCTCGAAAAATTAATCGCGCCTGAAATTTGCCCTACTTTCACGAAATTTTCGAAGACATACAGTTTAAAATCATGCTGAGTTTATTCGTGAGCCACGTTAAACCCGACAGAGCTAAAAAGAAAGTGAAATACATGTGTTAATTGCGAGGCTGCTTTAAATGCATGGTAAAACAGTTTCCGAACTGGATTTATTTACTTCACTCCGCACAGTTACATAACCTTTGAGAAAAGCGCGGGAAAAGTGCCTCTCTTTAATCATGTTTCTTGTTCTGAAACGACGCTTACGCAAATATTTAAACTGTTAATATTTTTAAAAAACATTTCGTTGCGGTGGAGAAACAAAAAAGTTTCGGGGTTGTTAACCAAAAGACAAAAACGTTTCACGCACTTTTTTGAAACTAGGGGGATAGAGAAATAACCGTTAGCCAGAAACTTAACAAGCTCGGGTATTTAGAAAGAGAGTGAGTCGAGAGAGATAGAAAAATCGGATATCGCCAGCATATAAAGACTAAAAGAGAAGGGATTCCCCCATCACACCTCACGTGATAAATCACATGATACAGCGCCATGCATTCCCAAGACAGACTCAATTTGTACATCAGTTTGAAAATGGCTCCTTTACGGGCAACACGTACGAATTCTTGGACAGCAACGTACGTTTTCCAATTGATTGTAAATGCCTTAGTGTGGATTTCCCAAAACCCACTGATTTTTCTTCAGCCTAACTTTTACATTCCGGTGTGTAACGCAGTCTCTGTCTTCACCTTTTACCTGGTTGAAAAAGGAAAAGCACTTTGTCAGGATCGTCTCTCCGAAAACGATGCTTCTAGCTCGTCAGAGTGTCGAAATGGTCATACCAAGAACTCCTTTATACCAAGTGATTATGAAAGGCAAGATGAAGGTGTGAAATCTACAATGCCAAAAGGTGATTCCGCGCTGGAAAGCGACACAGCGAAGCCCGCCGAACGCAGCTCCAATGTTCGTACTAGTTCTTTCGACTTCCCAAACAGATTGTCTCTATTTGTAATTCAAGACATCATCACGCTCCTAGGTGACCTTAGAAGCAAGAAGACGAACATTGTTGCGGGAAAAGACGACGCTGGTGACATTTCACCGTGGTTAAGTAAGTAATTAGCCAATTTAACAACACTCATTCCCATCTTCTTCTTGTGTAATCGAATTAAGACTCGTCCAACTGTTTACTGCCTTTACCTACCGTTATTCACAAACCCATTCCTTTTCTTTTTGTCCCTTGTAGACTTTTCATCATCCTGGGATGCTGACAAACCGGGGACTTCTTCGAAAGAAGGAATTCGATTGCGTTTTGGCGAAGGAGAGTAAGCATGATTTCCTTTCAGTTTTAATAAACAGATAGCTTACTAGATGGGTTATGTCTCCACTTGAAGAAGTTTATGAGATTTACAACTAGCTTTGATAACTTTTGAAATGTTACGGACTGTTAATTTTAAGGTTTTTAGAAACTTTTGTCCTTTGGTGTTCGTTAATTTTCTTTCGTGTAGGGAAATTTTTTTGGAAGGGTATGTCCCTTATATTTACCCAGAGTTCTAGCAGAAACTGTAAGGCATCTAAAAAATGTCAATGTTGTTTTGTTTTCTATGCCATACTGGATGGAAAATCAGACTATAGTTTCCTTTCTAAACCAATTTTCACTATTAATAAAAAGGGAATTAGAATAAGTAACTGTATATAGACATTAAGTTCCATTGTGGTTAATGCATTTTGCAAGCATTTAGTTTAATGTTGTTTGAAGTGAAACAAATCTACAAACTTTTATCACCTTCCTTGTGGCTTTTTTTCTAAATACAGCTTGCTAATTTCCATGTATTTGGTCCCACTGGTTTCACAGAGACTGTAGAGCTGCAATTTTGTGATATATATAATTTTACTAGCATAGTGCATACTCTGATGATTTGGTATGGTTTTGGTTAAAGTTTGCATGTTGAAAAAATATCACAAAATTTCAACGCATAGCTGAATTAGTCATCGCATGGGTTGGTAACCGTGACTTTTGTTTCCTCCTTATCAGCACCAACCTACATGTTCCTTGGACTGGAAAAGAAACCATGAAAATTCCTAAGGAGCACGATTGGGTTGTGACTCAGGAAGAAAGTCTGACACTGAAAACGTCATCTTGTGAAAGTGTCATTGTGGGTTTACCAATCAGAGAACCGTCGGATACAGGTAGCACTCAGAATAAAACCAATGCTTCAAGTAAGAGTGGAAATCAGACGCCTCCAGCTGGAGGCAGACCCTCCCCACAGGCAGAGGGTCACTATGAAAGCATCAGCTACTCTGGCAACAGTAGTGGTAGCGGAGGAGATGATGGGGACGGTGATGATAAGAAGAAGCAGAGTGGTCGCATTGGTGGCTGTCAAGGTAATGACAGCGATGATGTGGACAAAGAGGATAAGAGCAAGCAAGTACCCAAAGAACAGGGTCTAGAATATGGTGTTGATAAAAATGGTGACGATTCTGGTGGCAGTGAGGAGTATAGCGGTGAAACTCAAAGAACTGGTAGGTAACTGTGTTCCACTATTAGGTGATTTGAATGCCAGGGTTGGCAATAAGTTTTAAAATTGAACGCAAATGAGCAAGAGCAAACAGTAAGGTTAATTTGGATACCATGCTGCCTAGCAGATGACAGGCATGAGTGGTAAGTATTAATTAACTGTCCCTGGTGTTCTAACCTGTATTTTGCAGGAAGTTTAAAGCGAATTCAGAATGAGTTCACCTTTCTAAATTTGTTGCTGATAAATTATTTATTCATTTAATTCTATTAACAACTGGGAAATGGATGCCACAGTGTATAAAGTTTTCTTTGATGATTTTTCATTAATGTTAAAGTGTTTGGCTAAATATGGCCAACCAGCTGGCAGTTTTGGTGGGCTATCAAGTTAAAATTAATTGACAGCTGTAGATACCACTTCTAATTAAATACATATTGATAAGTATGTTTCATTAGGAGCCATAATCCAGGCAATAATTCATTTTAAGTATTTTATGCTGTGGCTTTCCCTTAATAAGAAGATTCATTTTAAGATTGTTCTTCCTTTGTGATAGATTTGATGGGTGAGATAAAAGCTATATTTTATCTTGTTTATCAATACTGAATGTAAAATCAATTACTACGCTACCATGTTGAAAAAAATACTTGGTATATCCATTTGGAGTGCTGTAATTTACCACTAGGATTGTATGTTTGTCGCAGGTGACAGTCAGGGAAATGGTGCCCAGTCTCTTCCACAGCCCTCAAGTAGCTATAGCACAGTGCCTGGGGGAAGTGTTGAATCATTTACACAGAAAAATGGCAAAAGCTCATGTCCTAACAGTCCCAAGAAGGCAGCTCATCTGGTGAGTTAAAGCTCTGATGATTTTGTGAGTTACTGAGAAGCTGGTCCTTGTCAGTGAAGTAGAAATTTATATATCTTATTAACCAAGCGCGAGGGCCATACTGGGAGAATATTGGCCTGAGGTCTTGACAGTACGGACCGAGCGCAGCGAGGTCCGTACGAAAAAGACCGAGGGCCGATATTCTTCCAGTACAGTCCCGAGCAAGCTTGGTTAATAAGAGATTTATTAAAGGACTGAAGTTCAAAGGGACACAAGTGCGGTATCATTCGGGAACATTCGGGACAGTGCGTGGTCCAATACTTGGAGAATATTGGACCGGCAATAGAGCATTTTGATTGGTTAATTTTAGTTATTGGCCCTCTTACTGCCCGAGTCGTGTAATAAATATGATTATTGTTCTCAGTCAGTATGTCCACTATGATTTGTGGTGTATGTGATGTGCTATGATTCAATTTAGGGGTTTATATTTCACTGTAGGACCCACAAAATTCAAAAGTTTGCTTGAATTAAAATCACTCAGAAATTTAAAAAAAATATATCTTACTTACCTAGTTTTCTTGTAAGTTATGGACCAACATTTTTAGCTTGAATTTATGGCCAGTGTGCCTAGCACTTTGGCCATAAATGTGAGTGGAAAAAAGTCGGTCTGTAACTGAGTGTACATTAATTATCTTGCACTCAGTCTGTAAGAGGTTTATAATATTTACAGACAAAATACATCAAGAGAATATCTTGGTTGGTTAATCTTTTGACTGAAACAAGACAGGGCTCCAAGCTCAACTTCTTTCGAAGTTAATTTTTTTTTTTTCCAAGTTAATTTTTTGTGGCCTAAAATCATGAACTGGGTAGCCATGATTTGAGGTTGATTGCCAATATAACATGACACTCTAAACTGCTAACTACCTGGCTTGTCTTTGTAGTAAGCAGTATAGCTGGCATTGATTTTGGAGGCAATCAGGAACAAAGGAGAAAGAGACAAAGTTTATTTTAAAGAAAATGTTGGAGCATGTTTTGAGTAATTATTTATTGTTTTAAGAAAATTTTTAGGTTACTTTGATCCCAGACCATGGGAAACAAGTTTTAAAAAGATTACAACTTAATTGTGGCATGACAGCAAAAACACAAGTTGTTGCCAAATCTTTTAGTTGACATAGCAACCAAAATGGCTCCTGCTTGGAGTTCTGTAACAGTATTTCAGTTCATTTGCATCATGCTTTTGAATGTGTCATTTGTCAATGTGCCATACCCACTCTAGGTAAAACTTAACCTACCGTATTTATCCGTGTACAAGTCAACCCTTTATGACTGAAAATTCAGCCCAAAAAATCACCCAAAAAATCACCCTCAACTTATACGTGGATCATAGACAAAGACCTGACCCAGGCAATCCAATAAATTAGCATAACAATTGACTGAAGTCCACTAGGAAAACCAAGTTCACAAAACCAGTTCTAATTGTGTTCGAGTTTCGTCAGTTTTAGCGTGTTCTTCATCGATGAAAAAGTTTGATAATAAATTTTATGTGGCTTAAACAGAAACCTTGTGGGGCTAATTTCTACTGTATCTTCTGATCTGTAGAGCAAATATTTTTCCTTACAGCTTCGCTGCTGTTTTCATTGAACGATTACAGTAGCTTAGTGACCTGGCAAATGCTGTTTTCATTTGCGGTCTTGTTTGTTACATGCATGGACCAATTATGTTATTGTTTAGTTTCCAAGATGGTGGTGTTTTCATCAAGCGAGCTCTTCGGTGTTCCTTCGGTCTACTAAATCTCCTTTCGAAAGGTTATTTAAATGCATGAAGATTTCATTTTCAAAGCGATTTACAAAATATGGTAAATTACTTCTCCAGTAAATCGAAGTGCTTGTATATGCTTAAATCATGAATTGTGGTGATGTAAACAAGTGCTACTAAACTTCACAGCACATGCAGGTTACATTTTGCTCTGCAGTTTTTTTTTAATTCACGGTGTTTTCAATACATTCTCAGAAATAAGAGATCAGCCATTTGGGAAATTTCTATCCGTCTGAATTTTTCTTTACTAGAAATTATGAAAAATCGCATTTTTGACCTTGAAAATGGGGGGTCAACTTATACATGGGGTTGACTTATACACAGATAAGTACGGTAGATCACCTGGTTAAAAAATCATAACAGTTCTTGAGACCAGCACAACTTTCGTTTTGAATAAACTTCTGTATGAAATCTCAGGGCTTGCGGATTGATGTTATGGCAGCCGAGATGGAAGTTCAAGGACGATTCGCACCCAGTGAGACACAGGTATCTTGAATAAACTTGGAATTACTTTTATTAACCATTTCACTCCTAAAAGTGACCAAGACAGAATTTCTCCTTACAATATCAGTACAATATTAAGCAAACAAGTGATGAGAATAAAGAAAACATCCAATAGGAAATCATAAGTGATCCAATTCAAAATTCTGCTAAGAAACATCACAAGAATTGTATGGTAGGCAGTGAGTAGAATTACTAATGAGATCATGGGAGTGAAAAGATTGAAAGGAAACTACATTTAAACTTGAAAACATTAAGCTCTCCAATGTAAGATATTTGGTTCCTGGAAATATGTGAAGTCCTTATCAAAGGGGAATTTTGAAATTTAATGGGGGTATATGGTCTAAGGTTTGAAGATGCATAGAATAATGGAGAGTTAAGTGTGTATCCAGAGAAATAACTTTATTTTACAGATGGTTGACCTTACTTCAGTAATGAACTTAATTTATGTATTATAAAAAGTACTGCTTTGAAAGGGGCCTTTCAAATGTTTTGTGGCCGTTGATATTTGCAGCATTTAATTTTTTAGCTAATGTATTCTTGACAAATAATAAATCATTTATTATTTATGTTCCACTTAATCTTTTCGCAGGTAGAATCTGAAGAGATATGCAAAAGTGAATCAGTTAAAGACCTGCAGAGACCATTTACTTGTCGCCGAAACTTGAATTCCGATAAAGGGTGGCAGAAATGTACTGATTCCTTCTGTCAGCTAATCCAATACTTGCTTTACCACTCTCAAAACTGCAGAATGCATGTGTTGGGTGGATGTGAAGATTGCATCCGTTATAAAGATATCCTGATTAATCATGTATCAAAATGTACTCTTCCTTTAGGACAATGTGTAGTTGCAAGGTGTGATTACATCAGGGAGTACATGTGCATGATTAAAAGCCCCCTTCCAGGAAACAGGAAGTGGACATGGGCACTTGATCGATTGTTCTTTAGATCCACACCCCCCACAACACCCACAATTGAAGACAGTGAAGAGTTCTTAGATGGTTATAGAGAAGTTTTGGCTGGATTGGCACAGGCACACACCCAAGAAGACACAGTCTATGACACACATAAAGACATCATAGTTGCTGGTGAAAGCTCAGCCTCTAATGGTGAACTCTCGCCAGGTGCAGATGGGTGGAATCAGTACCATGTGGACCGACCACCTGATGCCCAAGTTACTAGAGGCCCAGTTATCCAGGAATCTGGTCAGCTGGAATGCGAAGAATATTCACTAAGTGCACCATTAAGTGCAGCTGATGTGTCTGTGAAAAATGCCTGTGCAAACCAGAATGTGGGGAGTGCTGTGGTGGAGGAACAAGATGAAATCATTTGGCCTTTAAACCAGGTAGGTTAACCTATTGACGTCCAGTGCGCCTGTATGCGCCCATGGGGACCCACACCCTTTCTACGCCTTGTGACGTCATCACTTTTAACCCTGGAGCACGAATTTAGCATGTACTTGAACAGGTTGAAAATATCTTACAGACGATACCAGAATGAGTGCAATTGAGTGAAGGAGATTGGAGAAATAGCCAAAAAACCATGTCACTTTGACCTGAAAATCTGCACGAAAATCGTGTTTCAGTACCCACCTACCTTTCTGAGCATGCGCTTTAAAAATAATGAGTAGTTTCTGAAAAATCTCCACACCAAAATGAAGCCTACTCAATTTCCAGCCAGTGAGGAGAAACTTCAGGCAAGGAGAGGGGAAAAAAAGGGCAGGAGAAAGAGAGAAAAGTAAAAGTCGTAAGTGGGGCATGACTTTTCAACCCAAAAACTATGTCAAAATTTTGCTCTCTGCGCGTGCCCGAGATTTTCAGGCCGCCATTTTGCATTTGGATCGAAAGGCCGTCGAGTGCACGAGCTGTCAAGGGGTTTTTGGTAAGTTTGAGCTTTTAAAACCACAACAGTGACCCGAAATCTGCTCGACTAGCTTCAAAACACAGTTTTCCACAAAAGCTGCGGCCATTAATGGGTTAANATCGTGCATCATACGTATTTAATACCGCAGTTCAAAATATATGAACTTCATATATTCATTGTATCTGATTTATCATCACGGGTTTATTACGAATCAACTTAACGGCCTGCTCCCAGTTGGCTTGTTAGCTCAATTGGTAGAGCGCTGCACTAGTATCGCAGAGGTCAGTGGTTCGAATCCCGTACAGGCCTGATTTTTTTCAGGTCTGATTTTCGCTATTGCATAAATAGCGCTATCTACTGCGAAGGATCGTGCATCATACGTATTTAATACCGCAGTTCAAAATATATGAACTTCATATATTCATTGTATCTGATTTATCATCACGGGTTTATTACGAATCAACTTAACGGCCTGCTCCCAGTTGGCTTGTTAGCTCAATTGGTAGAGCGCTGCACTAGTATCGCAGAGGTCAGTGGTTCGAATCCCGTACAGGCCTGATTTTTTTCAGGTCTGATTTTCGCTATTGCATAAATAGCGCTATCTACTGCGAAGGATCGTGCATCATACGTATTTAATACCGCAGTTCAAAATATATGAACTTCATATATTCATTGTATCTGATTTATCATCACGGGTTTATTACGAATCAACTTAACGGCCTGCTCCCAGTTGGCTTGTTAGCTCAATTGGTAGAGCGCTGCACTAGTATCGCAGAGGTCAGTGGTTCGAATCCCGTACAGGCCTGATTTTTTTCAGGTCTGATTTTTGCTATTGCATAAATAGCGCTATCTACTGCGAAGGATCGTGCATCATACGTATTTAATACCGCAGTTCAAAATATATGAACTTCATATATTCATTGTATCTGATTTATCATCACGGGTTTATTACGAATCAACTTAACGGCCTGCTCCCAGTTGGCTTGTTAGCTCAATTGGTAGAGCGCTGCACTAGTATCGCAGAGGTCAGTGGTTCGAATCCCGTACAGGCCTGATTTTTTTCAGGTCTGATTTTCGCTATTGCATAAATAGCGCTATCTACTGCGAAGGATCGTGCATCATACGTATTTAATACCGCAGTTCAAAATATATGAACTTCATATATTCATTGTATCTGATTTATCATCACGGGTTTATTACGAATCAACTTAACGGCCTGCTCCCAGTTGGCTTGTTAGCTCAATTGGTAGAGCGCTGCACTAGTATCGCAGAGGTCAGTGGTTCGAATCCCGTACAGGCCTGATTTTTTTCAGGTCTGATTTTTGCTATTGCATAAATAGCGCTATCTACTGCGAAGGATCGTGCATCATACGTATTTAATACCGCAGTTCAAAATATATGTACTTCATATATTCATCATATATTCTGAATAGTAATGTTAAATATCTAAGCTTAGCTCTTCCGTTAAATGTACTTGTTTCTGTAATTGGTTTCTATCGGGTTCAATACTTGTAAAGTAGGATTTGATATTTCGTACATAATCACTATTATTATTGTGCAAGCAATCGTGAAAGTTGGTTTGCTCTTTGCATGGAGTTAAGAGTGCTTAGTAGAAGACTCAATGAATACTCTTGATGACTGTGATCTACAAGAAAAATTTTCCAATATGACCAATGTACATGAACATAATGATGTTACAGTGTCATTAAAGGTAAAAATTCAGATCTCGTGATCGTACCCGTGTTTTGTGTGAATGCTATGGCTTTGTAGTTTCGAATAAATTTTATGCGCGGTGAATTCCCAAGGAAAGCGCTCGCTACAAAGCCCGATTGAACGCTCCTCGAGTGTCTAGTTTGATATTTTTTCAGATTTTCACCTTCAAATGCTTTCTGGAGAGGAGCCAAAGACTGTTAGACTAAAATGAGGAGAGAAAATGGAAAGATAAAGAACAGACACAAGTGGCTCACAAGAAGAGGCTCGAGGCTCGCAAAAAATGGCTCTGGCCCGCAGGCTCGCACATTAGTTACTCTCATGTTGAATTGGGTCAATGTAAGACCCTTTTTGCCATTAAAAACTCAAAAAAAACCTTTGATGACCAACTTTTACCGCTTCAAAGTCGTCCAAAAATCATCTGCCATTTCTGAAATCATGTTCCAGCCGAGCCCGCAATTGTACAGCAGAAAATGTCATCATGAAGTCAAAAGCTCAATAAACTTATGCTTTGCCTTGTCACAACTCTCTTTGTTCACTGCACAAAGAATCACACATATTACTTTTTTGAGAACTGTTTCGTTGTCAGTTGTGCCATGTCAACTTTGTCTGATGAGGAATTGTCCCAGAAAATCATCTGAAGCTTCTGTGGATAGTTTTGCACCAACAAATGATGAATTTTTGCCATGCGAATAAAGATAAACACAGAACAGCACGGACTCCCCATGTGGCTTTTGTGCTTGCATCACTTTATCGGCTTTGAACTGTATTTTTGCTTGTTGCAAGGGATTTCCTTTTTTTGTTAGAAATGTTCAGGTGATTAGTAAATTAGTTTTCGGCAATCGCTGATTGTGTATCCGAAGGCAGATATTGGGAGTTTGTGAAAGCCATTTCCAAGCCATCAATGTGTTTGCCCCAATGCATTTGGTCAATGATCTCATTAACCCTTTCCTGCATGTTTTTTACTATTGGTGCTTTGAGAGGTTTGAAGTGAACTCTGTTGTCGAGTTGTACTTTGGCCTCTTTTGTTCTTATTCATGATGACTATTGTTGTGTTGCTTTGGTGAGTTTTAAAGCAGAGTTTGTTTCAACTCTTTTAGAGCCATGACCTCATTGCGTTACAAAGTATTTTTTGGCTTAGATGCAGTCTGCAAGCATTATGACAATTTTCCAAGTCGCTCTGAGGGGAGATAAAAGACTGAACTGGTGGCATTCAGTTTGATATGAAACAGAAGTGGTTGTTTGATTTGTCTGTGAAAGGTGTAAGTAAAGTCTGTTTACGAGCCTAGTGGCCCATTAGGCTGGTGCTTAACTCCGGTTTCTGTTACATGAAGGAACTAGAAATATTTCTACTCCTCCTGGATGGGATGCTAGTCCATCGCAGGGTTACCCCCAGCATTAAATTGCCGGTACCCATTTATACACCTGGGTGAAGAGAGGCACTGCGAGAGTAAAGTGTCTTGCCTAAGAACACAACACAATGTCCTGGCCGGGGCTTGAACCCGGACCACTTCATCTGGAGGCGAGCACACTAACCATGAGGCCACCGCACTAACCATGAGGTGTAACGGAGGCACATTTGTCTTGCGAATAAATCTCGCAAAAGTTGCCCTGATTTTACATTTGTTTGTCACGGGTTTTGGGATGAATTTGAGACCCTTTGATAGCACGCTGACTTGGCTGTCAGATGGTTGATAGTTTGAGAGGTTTTTTAAGAAATTTCTGTTTTCTCATTTTTTGCAAGCCTACATTTTAAAGTGTTTCTACACTCTGTGTCTTAGGCAGTTTGTTTTGCTTTCACTGATATTAAAGCCAGCCCTTTTTAGAATCAGAGCACACAATTATATTTTTCATCTCTTTGGTATAAAAGTGAGCTCTTTGAGGTCAGAAATGTCAATCCTCAATTCGGCTATTTTATCATTCTTATTTACAATGTTCACCGAGTACTTTCCTTTGTGTAAGGTATTCTGCCAGAGAGTTGTTAAAGGTGGATATTGATCAGCTCATATGTAAACGTGACAAAACCCGTGGAGGTTCGTAGACCTCGCTTTCGTCGAGATCGCACTGAGGACAGTTTTTCTTGTCCCTTCTCTTGAACAGTAGGCACTGAACTTGACAGAATTCTTGGCCTAGATCCTTCAAAGTACACAGATCTCTTGAAACAGTCCTCCGAGAGGTGTTCGGAGTAGATCACAAATATTTCAGTAGGATTGAAGTTTACTCAGCGAGTTCGCACAAATCACATCCGTTTTTCCCGCTGACTGACCTATTTGCAAGGCTCCGATGCAGAGAACTGCAGCATGGTCTGCACAATTACTTCAGCTTTGAATTACGCATGGATGCCTCGTCATATTTGTTTAGTTTTTGTAAGATTAGAGTAAAGCACTCTGTTATGTTTGCTTGACATTTTGCCATGTGAGATTTTTGTGTTGAGCCTTTGACATCACTTCCTCTGAGTCCTGCGATCAACTTCTGGAACATGATCAAATAATGGTGGACGTGAAATCGTGAATTTAACAGCCCAAAATAAGATATTTCTGGTGTTTGGTCTAGACTGAAGTTTGGCAGATTTGGCGAAGGAGACACACTGAACATGAAACTGAAGAAAAATAATGTACGAAAATTTTGATCTCAGGGGGCACTTTAACCTATTGACGTCCAGTGCGCCCATAAGCACCCATGTGGACCCACACCCTTTCTATGTCTTGTGATGTCATCATTTTTAACCCTGGAGCACGACTTTGAGCACGTACTTGAACAGGTTGAAAATATGTTACAAAC